TACAATATAAGACCATACATACATTTTAATCAAATTACAAAATTATAAATGTATAATAAATTAATATCTTTTGACTCTAAAATTCTCTGGTAATGAAGTCTTTTTTCTTATATTTGTTTATTTAAATCTACATGTTATAGGACTCGTCAAAATATTAATGTATATATTGTGCATATATTAAAAACAAAAAAAAATGAATTTGTTTTATAAAAATTAATATATAATAAATAAATAATTGTTTATAATTTAATATTAACTTAGTAAATAAAAATAAAATTAATATTTACAATACGTGGCAGTAAATTATTATGTGAAGCTATGAGAGTACTATTTCATTAGACTAAAGAATAGGATACATTTTTGTGACCTGGTTGTTTGTGACATGTAAATAAAAATAAATATATTCTATATAGAAAGTAGTCAATACAACAAGGCACAGCATGCACCATTCACAGAAGAAATAATAATTTTGTTATTTAATAATGTTTATGTGACATCTGCTAATTTTAATCCATAAATTTCCAACTATATGTAATCCATAGCATACTTCATATGCGCTGGTCAATTCTTTATGCAACCACATAAATGGCATTTTATTATTGGTAACTTTATAGTCTTTTATCTTACCGTTGAAACATGCTACCAATTAAAATAATTAAACATAATATTAAGTCAGATTTTACTTGTACATTACTCTCACTGTTTGTCTCTATCAGTCTTACCCTCCTTATTTTGTAACATTTTCTTAACACATTTAAACATCAGCACAAAATGGTTTCATACTAAATACAAATAGTACTAAATTGTCTGTTTATAGCTTTGAAGCCAAGATGATAAAATGTATTTCATAAAAATAAAAAGTTTACTCAGTAACTTCACCTGCGAAAGCTTCATGCTGCATTAAACAAACCTCATCAATATCAGCTACTACACATAGTTATTTATATGTATATATGTATATATATATATATATATATATATATATATATATATATATCTATATATAAAAGGTACACTATACCTGAACATACTGTTCATCGTCTGTATCTCCATTACTGCATTGTTCCAAGGCATTACTTGGATTTATCTTTTCATAGTCTGAGTTAAATATACTATTATTATCTTTAATTTTTTCATATCCATCAATATTTGTTTCAGGTTTATAATTATTTACCTGTTCATATGGTGGTTCTTCAGATGCAGCAACACTCATGTATCTTACACTTTCGTAATTTGGATCTCCATGACTTACAGATTCATAATTTGGATCTGTATCACTATCACCAGGACGGCATACTGAAGCATAATTCGGTTCTCCCGAGTCATGAGGCATGCTCTCATAATTTGGCTCGGAATCTGTATCTTGATCTAGATCAATTCGTCTTCGTAACCTAACTTTTTCATATCCTGGATCCTCACTACTTGCGTTACTAACTTGTCTGTGTTTATAAGGTGTAGGATATGTCAATAATAAATCAGGACCATTACGTACTGATGCTGATGTACTTTGATAATCATTATTTCTTAAAGATTGAAGATGTGGTATTTCATAATTAGAATCACAAACAGGAAAACTTCGGGCAGCTAAATTTCTTTTGGTATTCACAGATTCATAACCATGATTAATATCTTGATTTAATAAATTTGTATCTCCATCAGACATTCTAGATAATTTTAAACAATTATTTTCCATTTCAGTGTGAATATTAATAACAGTATTTGCTGGTATGGTGTAATGAATAGTATCATGTTCTTCTTTTTGTATTTCTACTGAATCATGACTAGACCATGATGCTCTACTAATTTCTATGAGACTAAGTTTTCTATTTGAAGGTGTTACTTCTGGGTGTAAAACGTTAGAACTTGTAGGACCGTCACTTTGCTCTTCAGCATCTCTTTTCTTTTTCATGACTTTAGCATACATATCTTCTAGAGATTTTCCAGTTGATAAATTAGGTCTTATGCGTTCATCATTTTTCGCTCTTTTATCGACAGCCGCATATGCATCTGAAACCGCTTCTGGTGGGGGAGGTAATGGTGAATTTGCTTGACGTTTTTCTGGTTTTGGAGAACCTGGGTTTATGATAGAACTATTGGCACTTGATGATGATGCTAAAGAAAAAAAAATATATATATGTAATATCTCTCTTAGTTTAGTTAGATTACAAAAGTTCATAAAGAATCATCCATAGGGAAATTGTGATATAAAATTACCGACCTTGTCTTGAATGAGCATGAGCAACATGACGTAAACTATCAACACTTGGTGGTTGTGGAGCAGTATGTGTCTCTTCAGAACGCAATAATTGTTGATTAAATGAATTTTGATCACTATGTGTAATTCTATTTGCTTCTAATATTGTAGGTTGAATTTGGGCATATGTTTCACTGCCACTAGTGTAAATTTTTTCTTGTTCATCAATAGCTGCATACATTTCATCTGTTGCAATATTATAATAATATAATAAATAAATAAAATAATAATTACATTTTTTGGATTTCAATTAATAAAGAGAGTCAAATGATAAATATATTTTAAGAATACCTGAATCATCTGATACAGTTGCATAATGAGGATCAACAGGTAAACGTGTTGGTTGATTTTGTTGATAAGCTGCTTTTGTTTGTGCTAATATATTAGCTAAGGGTTCTCGTACACTTATACTTGTATATCCTTCTATGTAAATAAAATTAGAAAATAATTTAAAATCACTATGTACTATAGATCTCTTATTAGAGCTTAGTATTTAATAAACTTACTAGAATCCTGAGAATCACCACTAAAATGTTGTGATGTACTATGTTGCGATGGTTGTGGTGGATGAAGAAGTAACATAGCAAGAGGTGGTGTCATATATGGTAGATCTTGATTGGCTTGTACACCTCCAGAAATAGCATTTGCAGCTTGTATATCGTTAGAGTTCTCAGCACTTAGGAGTGAATTATAAGATGATGATTTCCGAGTTCTTGGAGGTGCTACTGGATTTCCATTTGTATGACTTGATGATGTTGATGGTTTATCAACATTAGTCACTTGAGTACTGCTATTCCTATAATATTTACAGTAGATTAAAATTCTGCTATATAATTTAATTCAAGGTAATTAAAAAATAAATTTAATATGTTTATTTTACCTATGTGATTGATCAGCTTCAGATTTCTGAATACTTTGAAGTTGAGCATACGGATGTTCATCTAAAGTAGATATAAGTATTAAAATTGATAATTAAAAAGAAAAACTAATTCATATTGGTATTATTATTGTATGTATTATTTATCTATATATACCATTTTTAGATGTAGATGGTGTAAATCTTGTAAGTTGATATGTTGGGTTATCTTGAACTAAAGAAACTTGTTGAGAAAGGCATTGTGTTTCTCTTTCAGATTGTTGCTCTTCTGTCAGTGTATCAAAACAAAATTTAATAAATGTCATTATAAAAATAGGAAATCTATCTTTAAAAAAATCTTGTATAATTTTATATATACCTGTATCCTGAACTGTAGCATACAATTCAGAATTTATTTCACTAGTTTCATAAATATCTTGAGATACGGATTCTGTAGCAACTTCTCCTCTATTTTTATCTTTTGGTATATCTGGTAAGCTTCTATTAGCTCCGCTTGTTCTATGAATATAATAAAAAAATAATAATAATATATATATATATCTTTTTTTTTTATTCATATAAAATTAAGACATAAACCTTTTGCCATTATCTGTCGTATCTTGTGCTGGTAGAACTTGAGTAACTTCCACGGATGGTAATGTATTGAAATCATCATTTTCAGAATGATTAATTGTTACCATTCCACATAATCCAGGAAAGTCGTTTCTATATAGATATATGATTTTTTTAATGATTTAATCAAAATCAATATAAATCAGTGATATATAGAAAATTGAATACAATAAATTACTTTATACAAGAAAAATTGTCTTTAGCGTCATTGACATCTATATGATCATTTAGACTTACTTAGTCTGATTGCGTCGACAACTGCAGATACAAGCAGCAACAAGACCAAGAAATGACAGTAATGCTCCAACACAGACAACCCAGTAACACCAGGCATTTTCTTCAACTAAAGTTTCTATCATGTTATAAACTTCCTCCTGAATATAGCTTTGAACCTACATCAGCAAGACTATTACTATAGCCTTACTGTTAACATAACCTGAATACACGTAGACACTCTATATAATTACTGTTCATTAATGATATATCAAGTCATTTTCAACAATTCTTTGATCAATTTATCGTTAAATAATAAATCAATCAAAAAAAAAACACAAAACGAATTATAATTCACACCACAGATAAATTTATTTCAAACGAAATCCGAAGAAGTCCAAGCAAACAACACAAATTAGATCCTAAATTATATATTCTAGTAGACACACACTATACATCACGTTCTCAATGCACTATCCACTTGCGGATGAAAAATTTGTTCATATTACTGTCATTTTTCAAATAAAAATTAATAGTTGTATAAAATAATATTAGTTTAGGTCATTATAATATTTCAAGCATTCTTTCTATAATTTATGTTATTATACACATTATAATTTTAGATCTTCGTTAAATTTGAGCGGAAAAAATAAGTCAAATGTATGCGGATAAGTAATTATCGTTCTAAAAATGATACACATATATATATACACATGCATATATATGTATATGAACTTTTATCATATGTATATATGATATGTATATATATATATATATACACACGAAAGTAAATGAAAAAGAAACGTAGAGGATTTCCACGACCGTTTCGTGTCTTTACGGAGATACGATTACCGGATAAACGAAAGTCATGCCACTCTTGCAAAATGCCGGCTATATATTGTCTATTAAGAGAGATAGAGAGAGATAGATAGAGAGAGAGAAAGAGAGAGAGAGAGAAAGAGAGAGAGTGAATGATAGAAAGAGGGAGGAGAAGGGGGAGAGAGAGAAGGGGAAATTCTAGTCGATGAAATACAGAATACTAAACTATATTTCTTGACCTTTCTCTATTTGTGTCTAATGCCGAATTCATTTCTTTAATTTGACATTGATGTCATATATATATATATATATAGAGAATATATATATATAGAAGGTTCTTTGACAATGAAAAACAAATTACACTAATTCATCTATTGATATGAATAACAGGATGTAGTAATTATATATAGCATTACTTGATAACTGACTATAGTAGAGAAAGTGTATAATTTGAACGATCCGTTTTGTTTTATTTTTGTTTATTTATTTGTTAACGAATATATTTCAAATAATATATATACGTATATAACGATATATATATCATTCCTGTATTTATATATAAATGGTTAGAATAGACAATAGATCAGTATTATTGAATATTCATTATTCGTACATACTTATGTACAATAGTATGTATTGAAGATATTTGAGAGAAAGTTTGAAATTTTCCGCATAAAAATGGCGTATATTTAAAAAATAGACGATCGAATAAATGTCAGATTTATCACAGGAAATAGTTATGTCAGAAATATTAATCCGGTTACTGATAAAATATTGTGGATGTAAAAAAAAATTATACAAAAATTTATCTGTTAATCTCCTTACAATAGTAAAAAGTATCGCCGCATCGATACGCGATATACATTTACGATAGCATCAAAACTGATTTATTGGGATAAATAACGATATCTTTCTTGATATATGTACATTTTTACAGACAAATTCATTATTAAAATATTAGACAAGGAAATATAAGTTTATGAATAGAATATGAATAAAAAAGAAGTATAATTGAAAAAAGTATTAATTAATGATAAAAATTAATTTCAGAATAAAAAATAGATTTGTATATAAAATATTTATTATATTATATTTATGGTGTTTATATTTAAATAGTAAATAATATATATATATATATATATATATATATATATATATATATGTACATTATACATATAATAATTATTTCCTCTTATTTTCAAAAATAAGAAATTTCTTTTTTTAATAACTACAATATATTAATTATGGTAGTTTTAAGTTAGCCTGTCGAAATATCGTGATATTATGGCATATATATTCATATTAAAAAAAAAAAAGAATAAAAAAATGTATATTTTAATATATATCATATATATATATGTATATAAATAATGAATAATCAATAAATTTAAAATAAATGATCTCATCGACATTCGACATTTGATAAACTTAAAATGTTTGGTTAAAATTAAAATTTGTATAATTATGTTTAAATGCATGATATATATATATATATATACAGATTTGAAAAAAAAAATTAAAATCACTTTGAAAACATACTCTTTTCATTCTATTCTCGCATACTCTTAAATTACAAATTATAATGAATGTTTTTATTAATTTAAGAAGACCTCACACACTATCGAAATATCTTCAAATCAAACATTTACAGTTATATTTATTAATCATATCGATTATCTAGAATAGAAAAAAATTTTACGATCTTTAATCTGTCTCAGATAATTAATCATCCACACTCTTGAAGTATTTCCTATCATTAATAGCTGTCTTTATATAGCACCATTTATCTTGATTGTTAATTAAAAAAATTGTATATACTATAGTATGTCTTTAACTGAAGTGAACAATATCAATAAAAATATGAATCAAAGTATAATTAAAAAGACAATATTTTTGACGAAAATCAATTAAATTAGAGAAATTATAGTCTGTTATATTATATATATATAATATATATTCTCTCCATTTATATTGTATCTTTATATATATATACGCTCTTAACAAATAATTATATACAGACGAATCCAAATACGGAAATGTAAAATTTCACTATATAACGAAGAAAACATAATATAATTCGTTTAATATTTGTTGTAGTAATTTTTTTTTACTATGCAACAAGATATGATCACGGCCCCACTTTATTCAATCAATAAGAATTATAACAATATATCTCGATCTATGTGTATCATTGAACTTCTTAATAGATGTAGTTATTCAAGGATATTCATTCTTTCGTCCTATTATGAGAAAAATGTCATATATATATACGTAAATAAGGTAAGTATCTCTTATTAAAGAATGTTTCGAATGTGAATTAATTTGAAAATGTTGCGAAGAGATTAGTTTAAAAGTAATATCTTTAAAAATATGATCAAGTTTTATTATCTATCAAACTTATTTTCAGATGGACACGTGACATACATCGGTACCGGTGGATTATCGTAATAACCATATAACGGTTGAGATACCTGCGGGGGTGGTGCAAATGGATGCATAACATGAACTGGTTGAACATAGGGCATCATTTGTACCGGTGTGGTAGGTACCGAAGAACCATGTACACCGTTACCACGACCTAACGTTGATCCGTTATAAGATCCCACGTAAACATCGTGATTGATCTTACCCGAGTAAGCACTCGCAGGTCTTATCATTGAAGCTTCATGAATGCTAGATGCCACTGCCGTCATTCTAGCTTCGTTCATTTGGGTGCTCCATTTGAGCCGACAGATACATATGACTATAACGATGATGGCTATAAAAGCGACGACACCACCAACTATGCCAATTATTAAAGTATCGTCTGTACTCGACACATTTCCAACGGTAACACTACTGGTATGATCTCCATTGTAATTTTTATTTCTATTATTCTGAGTCGTTGGTTGTACAGTCCATATAATTTCAGGTTCAGCCGTTGTTGATCTCGAGGAAGGTGTCATTTCTGTTGTTTGATATCTACTAAGGGTTGTCCGATCACAAGTAAGATATTCCTCGGTAAGATTATTCAATAACATTCCTGATACATAATCAGGAGTCATACAAATAACATTAGATGCTCTATTGCCTAATCCTTTTAACCATCTCCAAAGATGTTTCGTTTCACAGTTACAATTAATAGGATTACTATCCAAACCAGTGAGTTTTACGAAACCACTTCTTTCATCGAGAGCAGCCAACAATTGTACGGACAGAGTAGTGAATTTATTTCCAGTTATATCCAATGAGACTACTGTAGAACGTGGTACCGGGAAGAAGAGAGCTGCTGGTATCGTGTCAACGGATGTATTTTTCAGACCAAGGGACAATGAAGGTACACGTACACCCACCAACGAACTCGAAAGTACGGTACGTAATCTCTCTCCTCGTAAAGTTAATAGTCGCAAACGAGGATGCGTTCTTATAGAAAGTTGCTCGTTTCCCACAGACGAATCTTTGATTTCAATATCTAAGGTTTCTAAGTTTGGCATCCCTTTCAATATTCCTTGCACGTCGAAATAACCTAATTTAGGATAACTATAGGCATATAACGAACGTAATTTTCCCAAGTGTTTGAATGCGTTCTTTTCTATTCTAGTACAATTAGGAAGATCAGCGATCTTAAGTGAACGCAACGTGGATAATCCATCGAAACTACTCTCATTGATAGCTTTCACGTCGTTGTTAGATATGTCCAAACTTTGAAGAGTTGGAAGTATTTTAAACGTATTCACCAAGTTCGAAAAATCCGTCAATTTGTTTCTGGATAAATCAAAACTTTCCAACATAGTAGTACGTTCAAGAATAGCTGGTTTGATGTCTATTATATCGTTTCCAGATAGATTTAGATGTTTTAAAAATGGTGTCTCAAGTCTGGTTAATACTTTTATACCAGTTTGGGCTAAATTCAAAGATCTTAATATCTTTGCTTCGCCTAATATACCACGTATAGCATTTTCGCTAAGTGGATTCTCTGAAAGATCAAGGTCTTTTACATTGTTGACTATATCTTGTGTAAAGACTTCCGTCATCTTATTTCTTGCTATCTTTAAACTGAACAACGATGCCGATTGTCTCTGTAAAGTTCTTATCGGTATTTCATTGAAGTAGTTCCCTGATAAATCGATGCTCTCCACTGAACGAATTCTGGATTGATCGAATATAGTTTCTGGTAACGAAGCTAATTTATTATTCTGAAGATCAAGATGTTCAAGACGTAATAAACCTTCCATCGTACGTTCGCTTAACGTTTCCAAGACGTTATTAGATAGATCCAATATTTGAAGTTGCGTAGAATTATGAAAAGCCAGTTCTTCAACAGACTCTATTTTATTTCCTGAAAGATTTAACATATATAATCGACCGATTTGTGAGAAGGAAAATTCATCGACGTTCTTTAATTTATTCCTCGACAAATCCAAACGTTCCAAAAATTGCAGAGATTTGATAAAATCGCTAGGGAAATGGACGAAATCGTTATAAGATAGATCGAGGCTTCTCAATCTAGGATGAATCACAAAAGCAGTCGGTGATAATTGACTCAGACGATTATTCGATAAATCCAATATTTGTAAGCCTGTTCCAGTATTGAAATATTCTCCGATGAAAGACGTTAATCTATTACTACGTAGATTAAGCTCGTAAAGATTTATAAGGCCGACGAAAGCTCCATTGTCAATACGTTCGATAAAATTATTAGATAAATCGATCACGGATAAATTGTAATGATGTTGAAAAGTACCCTCGTCTATCTCTTGCAAATTATTTCCAGACAGATAAACCTTTTCTAAAGATTCCAGATTTAACATTAAAACTGTTGGTAAAATCTTCAAGCCTGTATACGATATATCAAGTATAATTAACGACGATGGAAATATTGGTGGAAATCCTCCATAAAGAGCATTACTGCTAAGATTAAGATATTGTAATCTCGGCAAATGTTTGAATGTTTCGGGAGATATTCTTTTCAATTGATTACCGGCCAAATTTAAAGATAATAAATTTTTTAAAGGAAGTTCAGTCATACTGGTCAAACGATTGAAGGAAACATCTAGATTCAATAAAGTATCTTCCAAACCGGCGAACGTATTTTGTGAAATACTAGAGAGCATGTTACCAGAAAGTTCTATGCTAATGAGATTTTCGAAATTGTAGAACAATCGACCTGGGATTTCTCGCACCAAGTTACGCGTTAATCCTAACGTAACGAGACTAGATGACGTAGATCGAATTAATTCCGTGGATAATGCCGCTACACGATTGAATTCGACGTGAAGATGAGCCAATGCTGGTAGTCGTGTTAGTGCTGTAGCCGGTACTAATAAAATATTGTTATCCTGTAGCGACAACCATTTTAATTTTACTAATCCTTCGAAGGATGACTCCTCTATCTGAAAATAAAGAAAAAAAAAATAAATAAATAAAAATAAAAAAATAAAAAATTATATTTTATTATAGAATAAAAATTAAATATATTTTTTATATTACCGTACGCAAAGCATTCAAGCTTAAATCAAGTCTAGTGAGAGAGGAAAGACTGGAGAACGTATTTATTCCAAGTCGACCAATATTATTTCGACTTAGATCGAGTACTTGTAATTCGGTCAGGCCTAACAAATGGACACGTTCAATTTCCTAAATAATATTTCAAATTAATCGTACATAATTAAGTGAAATTTGTTAAATTTAATATCTTGATTGAACTTACTGTAATTAAATTATTTGAAATATTCAAAAACTTTAGATCCGTCAAATGTCTCAAAGCATAAGTAGGAAATTCTTGTAAGTAGTTCACAGAAAGATCCAATTGTAATAAATTGTATGCTCCTGAAATAATCGATTATTAGTATTAATATAATCTTTTATTATTTTGTTTCGTCTAATTATAATTAAACATTACTAAACCTAATAATTTTTTATAGGAGGAAGTAGGAGACCGATGTTTCATGAGAGACAATTGTCTTGTGAGAACTTAAAAATGAAGTTCATTGTTCTTTAGAGGTCGACCACTTCTTCCGTGTAACTAAACATCATACTTTCGTAGAAATAATAAACTAGTGCGAAGACACGCGTTAAATTCCCACCTATTAATGATGTAGATGAGTTTGATGTAGTAGCGATTTCGAAGATTATAATTTCGTTTTTCACGAAAAAATCATCTAATTAATCATAATACAGTATAATAATCCTATAATTTTTACGTGCATCCTAATCACGAAAAAGTGTGTTAGACAAAAGAATAGAAAATCACGCATATTATATCAATTTTCTAAAGAAAAATATGAATAACAATAAATTTTAATATAATGATCATGTAAGTTATAATTTAAGCAACGGAGGAAAAAATAGTACAGTTTTATGAGAACTTTTTCAAGAGATCTTCCGAGACATAAAAATATCATGTTATTTGTTGTAAATGTACAGTAGAAGATATTTAATTTGATAGAAAGTAATTTGACTATACCTTTAAATACATCGCTATTAAATCTTGTGAGATCATTGCGAGATATATTTAAGAAAAGCAAGTGTTCTAATCCAGAAAGTGAACCATCCTCCATATGTGATAATCCATTATTACTGAGATCCAGACGTAACAAAGACTCGCCCAATGTCAAAAAGGCTCCTCTTGAAAGGGAACCTATAAAACGATTTCATTCATTATAATAAAATATTTCTGTTTGTAATTTTTTATTTATGGATTTTTTCTAATCTTCAATTTTTATATTTTTTACTACTTTTATATGTTTACATTATTGCTAATTTTCTATTTATACATTAATTTCCTATTTATAAGTTTTCTTTTTTTCTAATTTCTTATTAATACATTTATTCTGATTTTCTATTCATAGATTTTTATTATTTCTTTTTGTTTTTCATAATCTTAATTCGTTTGAAATCAGATTCACAGCGAATAATAGATATTGTTGCTTGATAGAATGCTAATGTTATATGAATAAATTGTATGATGTGCGCAGCTTGTAATATTGAATACGTGGAGAAAGTTAGGCGCGAAAATTCTGAGCATCTGGTACGAATGTATCCTCCGTGCCGAGTAAACCGTTAAGTAGCAATCCGAGGATCGATATATTAGTCTTCAAGCCAAATCTTTCGTATGACGGATTTGTTATTGTTGATAATTTGAATATTCTCAAGAAATAAAATAATACATGCAAAGAAATTTCTTCAATTTTTATAGCACACGCACATAGACATACGATATTTAAAAATTACAAACAAATAAAATATACATACCAATATTATTTCCAATAAGCGAGAGTATCTTGATACCTTTTGGTCCTTTCAACGAAGCAGTAGGCACAATAGTCATATTATTCTCATCTAAATAAAGTTCTTCGAGATTGATACAACCTTTAAAAATTCCTTCCTCAATGTTTCGAAGTCCATTTTTTCGAAGATCAAGCCTTCGTAATTCTTCCATACCATGAAATTCGTTGCTCGAAAAAATAGGATTTAAATTATCACCGAGAAGATTATTGGCTAATCTCAATACACGTAATTGATTTTGAGATTGCAATTGGCGATCCATTAATCTGTAAATGGAATTATCGGAGAGATCCAACTCTCTCAAGGTCAAACCAGATCCAACAAGTTCTTCTGGTAAGCTTTGATAGCCACAGTGTCTTTGACTGATCGAAATAATCGGTTGTCCCTTGAGACTGTCCAAAGTGTCACGAGTAAAAATAACACGATCGCAATCCATTTCGATAGATCTTGGATAATTTGAAGATACCATACACTTGCATGGTACATGCAAATCTCGCTTTAATTCGACGCATGGTCGCCATGCTGCCTCGTTTTTATAAATATTGACGATAATTAACGAACCCAACAACAAGTATGAACTGAAAAACAAAAAAGAAAAATTAATTCATCGTATTATTATCTAAAAATGAATGATCTGATAGTAAATAGGAGAAACAAAAATCTTGAAAATAGATAATAGCCATAAGGAAGAGAACTATTAACGTTTCTTTGCATACTATTATATTCATGTTCCACTTTCAAATTTCAAACGGTGATAGTTATCGAGAAGAAATTTATGAGTTATGAAACCACATCGTTCGATTTTCATTTGAAAAAAAATTAAGAAAGAAAGAAAGAGTCATATAAAAAAGATGTATTCCTTTATATTAAATGTGTCATTAGTTTATACATAGGATGTAAATATTTTGTTTATTATAAAAACAATAACAACTTCACGAGGAATGTGTAAAGATTTCTATCGATCATTATAAGATCTATCACTTTAAATAGAACATCACAGAATACCTCTCTTTTCTTCATTCATACATTCTATTATCTTTTTCACACGATCTACAATAACTTTAATCACACTGGCAACGATGATGATATTTAATTCTTTCGTAGTATCTTACACTTCAATTTCAACGCTTAGTCATCTTACTAACAGTAAGTCGGAAATGACTTTCGCTTCCCAAGCGTTCAAATTTCTTACGATAATTATATCTCGATGAGTGTGCGTGTGTGTGTATGTGTGTATGTGTGTGTGTGTGTGTGAGGGAGAGAGAGAAGGAGACTTTGGAGAAACCGTAAGTGGTGAAACTATGCATTCGATTCATTAATTTTAATTTTATGAATGAACTCGATTCAATCGTAACGTAAATTAAAATTCACATTATCTTATCTTATCTTTTATTATAATTAATAAGATTCAGTATAATTAATAATTAATAAAATTCATTATAATTAATAATAGATAATGATCATAGATATTTCTAATACTTGTCACGATTTCTTTTTTCATCAAACAAAACAACTACTATACGTATAACCTGAATTCTTTAACAAGTATTGGCAGTTAGGTTCGAACGAATCGTTCATTTCGAATGTAAAGTCGAATTTGGTCGACTCGAATAACGGTAGGTGTAAGAAGATCGTCATGACTTTGCAGACTGTGTCGCATTTACTCTCTCTCTCTCTCTTTCTCTCTCTCTCTTTCTCTCTCTTTCTTTCTCTCTCTCTCTCTCAATTTCTCTCTCTCTCTCTCTCTTCCTCTACTTTGTCCTCGATTAAGAATTTCCATCATGAAATTACAATGAAATACAAATTATATACGAAACATCGATAGATTAAAATTTACATTTAATTGGATCTATATAATTATGTATAATTTATAATGTTTCATAATCATAAAAAAAAAATCCTGTCATAATCTTTCATGTGCATATATTAAATTAGTTATTGAAGAAATCAGTTTTATATTTCATACTATCTATCCTATTTTATTTTATTATGGTTGTGGTATTGCCAGACTTGGTTATTCTAATGATTATTATATCGCGTAACGTGTTTCAATGAGATTGCAAACTCTTACTGTCATTAGAAGTTCGCTAATGTAAAAGTGATTACGATATCCTTTGCCATCGTAATTCGATAGAACTTTCTATTTGCGCGAGTAATTAATCGTCTATTTTTAAGACGACGTAACGTGTGTGATTTATTATTTACACGTTGTTTTCGAATGAAATGAAATACACACACACACACACACACACACACACACATAAGCCTTAATTTGTGTGTTCGTAATTTCTCAAAAGCTCCTACTATATTTATCCAATCGAGATGAAATTTTGTATAATTGTTTGGATTATAATCCTTGTAATCCGACGGAAAGTTTAAACTACTTAACTTGCGGAAAAAATTAGCTACAAAACATTAAACGAATAAGAAAGAGATAGAGATAGAGAGAGAGAGAGAGAGAAAGAGTGGAGAGAGAGAGGAAAGAGAGAGAGAAATGTACGGCCGACACGAAGTACGGAGCAAGAAAGAGAGAGGAAGAAATAGTGAAGTTGATTACTAGAAATGAATTTTGATTGAATGATTTTTGATTTGTGATATACGAAACACAAAAAACCGAACACAAAAAATTACGTGTTCCATGTTATGCGTTCTGTGTTTTCCGTGTTACGGATGACGTACTATCTACGAATCTGGCAGTCCGGGTTCGAAATCCGGATCACGGAAAAAATTGTATTTCGTTGGAATTTTCTAATGGTTCTCGATCTTTTGATGCACGAATAATAGAGTACCTTAAACACGTTTTTCTATTCTCCTAAGCAATCGATGATATAACATAGCTAGCGGAAAAAATTTTTATTTTACAATTCGAATGATAGAACATATTGGCATAATGCATATACATATTACATACGATCTGAATACGAATGCTTGATATATTATTTCGTAAGAAATAATTAATAATAAAATAAGTAAAAATAAAAATGTTTTTTTGACCTTAGTTGTCCGTTATGTTTAACAGAGGAATGTACTAGTATATATATCTATTTATATATATATATATATATATATAGCTTTAAGGAATACCGTACACCGTGTTGGATGACTTTCAAATCAAACAAATTAAACAAATACTTCTTCCGAATACTAAGCACCACTTTTGCCCAGTAGCTAGGTAATATCTTTACGACTGCAACCCAAGACTGCTTTCTACTGTCTAATTAGTAATACTAGAGCGCACCCACTTTTACGTTGCACGCAATCACTAATTTCATATTACTATATTCTCACGTTCGATATCAAAGCTTGCACCTCTGAAATTCTATAAGTACGATCAATTTAAAATGTTTTATCTATGCGTATTTTGTTTGTATTTCATTTTGTATCTATCCATTTTTTTAAATTAATCCATTATAACTTTATATAACTTTTAAGTAACATACATACACATACATATATATATATATTTTTTTTCAAGTTTGTGATCGCCGGCTTGCAATTAATTTTTTTTTCCTTTTCATTTAATTTTATATCTTTCTATTCTTAAAAATTAACTCTCTCTATAACACCTTTCTCGTAACTTTCAAGTTTATACGCTTATATATATGTATCTTTAAGTTTGCAATTTCCGGCTTGTAATGGATTATATTATGCTTGGATATATTATATGTTTAATTTTGTATCTTTCTAATTTTAAAAATTAATTCTTTATAACGCCATCTGTAATTTTAAATTTACACACTGACACATATTTGTATTATTGGACATTTCATTCCATTTTATCGTTAAAAATTTAATTATTGTTTTATATCCATGATTTTTCATGTTTTTTAAAGTAAAAAGTTATATTTATTGTTAGTATAGTATGATTATAATATAGTATAGTTTTTATATAATATAGCATAATTTTGTAAACACACAAAAATAGATCATAGAGAGAAAGAAAATGAACAATATTTTTTTTTTTGCAAAATTAAAAAATAAATCGTAAAGTAAAGGTACGATATATTATTTCTTTTGTACTTTCCATATATTTGAATTCTTGTACGGTCGAATCGTAAAATAGGAATGATAAGTCAAGGAAAAACAGGTTTTATAGACAAAAGTATTCACAGGAAGGAGCAGCCTCGAAGATTTTTGCGATTATTCCTGCGAACTGGATAGACCAGTGCGGCACAATCTAACGCGGCAGTTATTCTCTCGAGAACTTATAATTTCTTTTTCTTTTTAATTATATCCGCAAATCCGCGAAGAAAAAAAAGGAAACAAAAAACAACAATATCCGTGAAAGAAAACTTTCCAGCTTGTTAAAAGTTTCAACGAATCTTGAAAACGTATATACATGTGTGTCATTTCGATGTACGTCATTTCGCAAATAATTATGTACATTCATTTTTTAATCTCTAAAATCGTGAAGTACCATGAGCGTGAGAGCTGATTATTTTCCGGATGAAGGTTAAAATCGTATTATGCGTGAGAACTTACTTCATAAACAGTACTATCCCTAAATACACGTGAGTCATGGGAAAGTCATTTTAATAATTACATTCACTATTAACACGACGAACGGCCATGACTTATCTCGTTCACTTTTTCTTTATATGATTAGAATTATCTTGGAAATTAACATGAAAAAAATAAAAAAGAAAAATAAAAAGAAAAAAAAACCATTCTCATGAAAACATAAATGTTTATTTGTAAATGAATCAGTGATAAAACGTAAAGAAAAACTATGAAATGATACATGACATTAAGCATTTAATAAAGCTCGTTAAACCCAACTTAATCATGTACAAAATTATCAACATTTCATTCTTACAATCCATAAATGATATACTTACACCATGATGATGGTGTTGGCACTTCCACGTGCCAACTACAATGATACTGATACAAATAACACAGTTTTATAAAGGTGTGTCGTACGATTAGCCCGTTTTACTTCTCGAGGCCACTATCACCTTCGAATCAACATCAGATTCATGGAGTATTCACAGATGGATCATCTTGCAATCATCTTCATGGTCATCGTGTGTCATCGATGGCACTTTCTTGTTCCTTTCTTTCCTTTTTCTTTCTTTCTTTTTTTATTTATTTCTTTTGTCCTTGTTCTCAATAAACGATAGATTTTCTCATTTTTGATTATTTACAATCACCTTTACCAAGCATTACTTTATAGTTCTTTCGAAGCGCGAAAACACGAAATATAAGAAGCCACGGTAAGATCTCTGAGAAGACTCGGAAAGATTGCCGCAGGAGAAAGAGAAGATACCGATGAACGTGTACACCGATGCCCTTCCCAGAGGTTCGCGGACTTGGACATAACGGGGATCCCGAGTTAACTCGTGAGGCAACTTCGGGACCATCACCGTACGATACCACCACCAGGTTACCGGCTCGCATATCAAGAAAGATCGAGAGAGAAAAAGAGTAAGAGAGAGTAAGAGAGTGAGTGAGAGAGAGAGAGAGAGAGACAGAGAGAGAGAGAGGAGAAAGAGAGAAAGAAAAGGAGGGAAAGAGAGAGGGAGAGAGAGAGAACGCACGGAAGGTCGTAGAAAGGAGCGGGAAGAAGAGGAATGGAAAAAGTACGCAAAAGAGCGATAGAGAAATGCGTTTCTGTCGGCTAAGAAAAGAGCGCGAGGTAAGATCATGGATGTAGGAACAAGTTGCGGGTTTCTCGAGCAGCCTTTCACTGACTGTTCTCTCTCTCAGTACACCTATACGAATAACCGGTCGTCCAAGGTATGCCGTTGGCTATCTTGCTAGGTATGCTGCTGTTAGTTCAATATCGAATTGAGAAAAATATCTCCTTGAGTCAATCACTTAAGTTCTTTGTGAATGAACGTTTCTCCTGATCTTTCTAATTTGTAATTGTCTATGCACTCTTTCGTATTTATATATTTATTAAAGAAAATTTAATTCACAATAAAATATATCGCAGTTATATAGTTACGATCGGTATTCGTTTGATACGCATCGAATGCATCGAATATGAATAACCTCTAAGGTATTTTCATTCCTATTGATATGCATGATATCGTGGTGAAACGCTAATTAAAACAATATAGACCTTGATATTTTATATTTACTTGTTATATTATATTAGGTTAATTTGACATCATTATTATAACTATAGAACCTTTTTCAATAACTGTAATAATAATGAAAAATATAATGATTAATCAAGATAAAATAAGTTTGATTTCTTTATTAATATTTTCTTGTAATCCTTTTTAAATTGAATTTAGATATTTATGTAAATCGTGTCTTAACCTATCGAACGTCGTAATATATTTTAAATTTATCCAATCATATTGGCGGATAGCTTCTAAATTTCAAATATGAGTTATTAAAACTACGTACAGATGACACTGTTTCTCGAGATATAAAATCATTCAATGAACGTAGAGATATATTGAAGTTTATGAGAAGGACTGCTCTGATTGGTACATAACACATTCATGTTGATAATTAATATCGATGAACTATTAGTCTTTATACGTGACCTGTCAAACAGAGGATGAACGTAATTTAACCTCAATGTATAATTACTGTAACGACTAGAATTGTATATATTAATATATTTTTGCTTATATTTTTGAAGTAAAACATTTAGAAAAATGTCTGCGATGATAACTGCGGATTGGTTTCCTTTAGGACGTGACATATACTTTCGGTAATTTAATAATATATCCAATACATATTTTCTAAGGATAATATAAACATTTTATGCAACAATAAAAAATATAATAAAAAATATAATTCTTTATTTTAGAAAATTTGAATTATATCCACTTACTTTCCAAAACGAAGTCAGCAATACCAATTTAATAGCAGCAGCTCCTTACGGAGGTTCTTTAGCAATTACCAGACATCCTAAAAAATTAGTTAAGATTCAAGGAACTAATAAACCCGTAATATTGATTTATACTTCAGCAGGAAAATTAACAGCCAAGTTTCAAGTAAATTAAAATAGTTAATCATTAATTGATACATGTAAACATACTATGTATTATTCCAAATCATAATTACATTTTATAAAAATAATTTTTCATTACAATTTTAAAGTGGAACAGTGGACGATTAGTTCTTTTGGGTTGGTCTCAACAAGAAGAATTACTTTGTGTCCAAGATGATGGCATGGTTCTTATTTATGACATGTTTGGGACATATCAGCATACTTTTGGCATGGGAAATGTGTGTTACATAACATTAATAATAATATAAATCATTATTGTCAAGATTATTTTAATGTTTGTTTATTTTTTTGTTTTCTTTAAGGAAGCAAAAGATACCAAGGTTATAGAAGCTAAATTTTTTACAACTCCTGTTGGTACAGGAGTTGCTGTTTTAACATCTGCATATCGAATTTTTTTGGTAACTAATACATCAGAACCAAAAATTAGACGAATTTCTAATATACCACGTAAGTTAAATTGTTTCTAATATATAATGTAGAAGAACTTTTATATTTATTTATTGTATAAACTTTTAGGAATTGGTGGCTCCATTGATTGTTGGCTTGTAGTGCATTATGACAGAGAAACTCAAATTATTTTCTCAAATGGAGATGGTATATTTTTTATGCATCAACCTTACACAAATACTACATCAATACCATTTGTAAGTTTTGTTTGATTTTAAAGAAATATTCGAAGAAAATTATGGTTGCTTTATTGTAATATAATGTGTTATTTTTTAGAGTAATTTGTTTAATAATAAAATAAATAATGTATATGCAATGGCTGTATCTCCGAATAATCGTCATATTGCTCTTTATGCAGACACTGGTCATTTATATATTGGTTCATTTGATTTTAAAGAAAAATACTGCGAGTGCGCTACACACATGACTGAACCATTATCTTGCATAGCATGGTACATATATTATATATTCTTATTATAATAAAATATTTAAATATTAAAATACTGACGTATTAAATATAAATAATATTAACTTACAGTAATATTACAGGTGTGGAACAGAAGCTGTAATTTGTAGTTGGAATAGTACAGTAATGGTTGTAGGAAGATCAGCTGAAACTATAGTTTATACTTATGATGGACCAGTATATCTTATTCCAGAAATTGATGGAGTACGTGTTTTATCGAACTCCTCTCATGAAATGATACAAAAAGTTCCAAATGTTGTATTGAAAATATTTAGAATAAATTCGACAGATCCTGCATCATATTTGTTGGAGGCATCCAAACAATTTCAAAAGAAAAGTCATAAAGCTGATAGCTATATTGATTTGGTTAAAGATAAATTAGACGCGGCTATAATAGCTTGCATTGATGGAGCGAGTCATGAATTTGATTTTCAAACGCAAAAATTATTAATAAGGGTAAGAGTTATGTAATTATATTGCTAATATCCTTTTAAATACTTTTATATAATTAAGAAATATATTTTAGGCAGCTAAATTTGGTAAAGGATTTAGTAGAACAATGAATCCTGATAATTATGTTAGTATGTGCAGAACATTGAGGGTACTTAATGCAGTAAGACATCCATCAATTGGAATACCATTAACATGTATACAGTATCCTTTAGTAGTTTTTGTTGCGATGATCAAAAATTAATCAGTTGAAATCTATTTTTGTATTTTCTTTAACTATAACAGACTTAATATTTTAACGAGCCAAGTGTTATTGGATCGATTAGTAGCAAGAAGGCATTATTATTTAAGCATACAAATAGCACGTCATCTTCAACTTCCTGAAATAGATGGAGAAAGTAGAATTTTAGCACACTGGGCTTGTTATAAGGTAAATTTCTATTTTGTGTGTATATGTGTATTATCGTATATTTTGCATACAAATATTTTTCTCCAATCACAGTAATATATATTTTACATTATATAATAAAAAATATGAATGAAATCATTATATTATTAGATAATAAAAGTTTTTGGCATACTTTTAGGTCAAACAAACTCGATTAGACAAAGAACAAATAGCAGAAGAAATAGCTGATAAATTAGGATATGCTCCTGGTGTATCATATAGTGAAATTGCAAAAAGGGCAGCAGATTGTGGTAGAAAGCAATTAGCTATTAAAGTAAATTGATTTTGTTTTACATATTTTGTTCGATCAAATAATTATGAACTTATTCAATATTTAATAGTTGATAGATTATGAACCACGTGCTCAATTACAAGTACCTTTGTTACTTACACTTGGTGAAGAACGAGCTGCATTACATAAAGCTGTTGAAAGTGGTAATACTGATCTCGTTTACACTGTTATACTTCATCTTCGAGAAAATATGACACTTGGAGATTTTCAAGTAAGTGAAAAATCGATTCTTCTAATATAGCAATAGTACATAAGATATCATTGCATAATATTTGATAAAATATGCATTATCTTTATTATCCATTATAGATGTCTATAATGCATTGTCCTTTAGCAATGGCATTATATATAAAATATTGCCAAAACCATAATCGAGAAACATTACGAGATATTTATAATCAGTATGATGATTTCCATTCGCAAGCAATATGGTTTATTACAGAAAGTTATCAACAAAAGGTCCGTATGAAATATACGTTTTAATATTATGATGATGTTAAATAATTTCATTTATTTACTATTTAGAGTGCACGGGATACATTGCTTCAATCAGCACAAGAAAATTTTAAATTAGCCCGTAATGATACAAATGCTGCTTTGACAGAAGAACAAATTAAACTATTACGTTATCAAAGATCTTTAGAAGAAACATTACATAAAACAATGGTAGGAAAATCTCTTCATGACACAGTCAAAATATTATTACTTCAAAATGAATTGAAGCTTGCAGATAAATTAAAATCAGAATATCGAATACCTGAACGCAGGTATAGTCTATATTTATATTCTAAAATATGTGAAAACATTTACATATTTTTATTAAAGAAAAATCAGAAATAATCAAATTAAAAATAAATTTATATAAGTTGATAATGAATTCATATAAATTAATTGTTGAACTTTACAGATATTGGTGGTTACGAATTCAGTGTCTTGCAGAAAAAGGTCTTTGGAATGAATTAGAAAAATTGTCAAAAAGTAAAAAATCTCCAATCGGTTACGAGGTAATAAAAACATCAACAATAAATTTGCTTAACATTCTGAATATTTTATATATAACTTGATAAATTTTTTCTCAGCCATTTATTGATCAGTGTTTAAAATATAATCAAGAACAAGAAGGAAAAATATATTTGCCAAGAGTGCAAGAAGAATTAAAAGTAAAATATCTTGTTAAATTGAAGTAAGTATGCTTTAATAGACATTTTATATTTTTATTCATTTATTATGTAAAAATAATAAGAGATTAGCTATAATCTCTAAGAAATTAGCTATAACATAACAATATGATAAAGTTGATTCGTTTCAAATAATTCTACAAAAGTTAAATATATTATAATTTATACAGAATGTTGAATGAAGCAGCCCAAACAGCAGCAGAGCAAAAAGATGTTTCTGCTCTAACGTTTGTATTAGCACAATGTGGACCGTCGGAAAAAAAATTAATAGATAAAATCAATATGCTTATTACAAGTATAAAAAATTAATGAGTACTATCTGTGCGAAAACTATGTAATATACTTTATTATATATAAAAGTTTATCTGACTGAAAACATATTACTTATAACTTATATTTATATTTATATTTAAATATAATTGTAAATACTTTAAACAACGATTTATTATATTATATTTAGTTTTTCACTAAATTAATTTGTAATTTATACAAAAAAGTGCTATAATTGGATACTGTATCCAATTATGTTTTCCCCTAGTTGTGCAATAAACAACTAATATTTACTAATAATATTCTTATTAACGATAGTAATACAATAAAAAAATAGTAATGTTTATTTAAAAAATCATGTTATAAAAATATACCTATACCTTGAGTAATAGGATACATTATCTGACCTTCGAAAAATTCTTATGCTTTAGAATTATGTCAGCAACTATGAATTTTTCAATTTCTTCACCTTTCTCCATTTGTTCATGTGTTAATGATAAGACATAATCATTTTCTTTACTGACAATAATTACTTGTTGTTTTCGAGTCTGTAACATATTAGCAACTACAAGCTGTAACAAAAAATATATATTGAGAGAAAAATATTTAGATATACAGATATAAATAAATATTATTTAGAAATTAAAAAATATGTACATTGTGTTTGTACTTATTCAAAGCAGTCCTTGCTTTTGAAACCAAAACATTTTGATCTGTTTCTAACTTAAATGAAATTACAAAGGCTTGTGGTACCCATAGATTAACTAAAGGTTCCAACATTTTTGGTACTAGTTGAAGTGATATTGTTGGTGGACCATTAGAAGATATTTTATGTACTGACTGAAATCAATTTAATGTTATAATAAATAGAAAAAATGATTATTTAATTTTATTTGAAGATAAAAGAATTAAACTATTTCATACATACCATTTTATCAAATGGTACATAAAAATCAGAAACAGCTGCAGCTAAGTATAAAAGAGCTTCATCTTTTAAACAAGATAATGCTTGACAAGCAGTTCTAAGTAGCCAAAGATACTCAGTCAAAGTATTAAAACTAATTTGTATCAATTTGTTCTGTTGTAGTGTTTCTTTATATTTTCGTAAAACCACTGCAACTTTTTCTGTATGTTCAGGTGCAACTGTAAAAATAAATAATACAAATTTTAAGATAATTATTATGACAAGAATTAATACAATTTATAATAAATTATAACAAATTTAATTTTAATATTACATTTCTATTGTATTAAAAAAATAAAAAAAAAGAATGGGAATATAATGTAAATGAATAATAAGACTTATAATAAAACGTTATACCTGTAACAATATATTTATCCGTGTCTTCTGTTATATTGAGCATATCTAAAATCTTGTGTCCTATAAAATGTCTTGTAAATGGTTCTAATGATTTGAGCCTGTAATAAAATATTAATATATCTTAATGCAACATACATTTATCAGATGAATATATATTTTTTATAATTTCTAATTTTCTGACCTGTACATAAATATTACAGCATAACCATTTTCTAAAAAATATTCAGCTGATGCTGATCCTCTGAATCCAGCACTAAAATTATCAACAAATCTAACAGTGTTATGTTCTAATGGAATCATTGTACCGCCACTCTACAATATCAATTATTGCAATTATATTAAAAACAGTTACTTTACAATATATAAATAAATTTGTACTTTTAATGAATATTTACCGTTATTAATACTACTTTATTGTTTTCTTTTAAATGTCTGTCAATAAAGCTTTTTAAAAGACTTTCGGTTTGAGTTAGATCTTGTGGTGGTGGATGTTTAGCAAAAAACTCTTCCCATGTCGAAGTCATAGTAATTTGATAAATTTTCACTTAGAAATATCTTTATATATATATTAGGCTATAAAAATGAAGAAATGAATGGCGTGTACATTCAATCGATTGCGTAATAAAAAAACTTAACCTGTTTTCCTTAAAATATCTGAATTTTATCACTAGACATATGTATGATGTCATCACTTCATAACTTTACTATCAATAATGTGTTAGTGACGAAACTACATTGAATATGATAGATATATGCACCTTTAATTTATCTAATGTTAACTTCAGTGTTTAATCGATCATGAAGAAAGAATGTTTAAGCTTTAGAAATTTATATTGATAATTTTATCTTCGATTAAAATTTTATTTATTTATTATTATAAAAAATTTGATAATATTTATTATTCTTTTAATGAAAACATAAGATTAACTTTTATAATAAATAAAAAGACAATTTTTACGTTAAATATGTAATTATAATTATTATATTTCAAAACATTTTCACTTTATACAAATAATTATGATTTTTAAGAAAATAAATTTCTATAAGTAATTCAATATTAATTTTATATTCTAATTCGAATAAAAAGTGAAATAGCGTAAATATAATATAAAAATACACATTATTGTATTTTTTTTTTCTTTTTTTTTTTTTTTTTTTTTTTTTTATTTAAAAATCATTAAGCTTTTTAACTATTCATCTCTATTTGATAGATATTATTAAAAGAAAACTTAATTATAACTAAATGCTAAACTAGCCTTTTATTGGGAAAATTTTATACATTATTTTAAATAGATGTAATAATATAAACATTACCAAACTTATATATATATATATATATATATGTATATTACAATTGAGTTTTATACATAGTTGTGATAGTACATGAAGTTATATGGAAAGTTTCTTCAGTTTCTATTGTTATATCTAAAGCAATACTACATAATAAATTATTTAGAATTTAGGTGCTTTGCTGGCATATTCGTCATAATTCACTGTAGAGTAGAACTGAAAATAAATGAACAGCAATATAAATATAATTGTTATTTATAATTCGATAGTATAATCGAAATCATATATAATCAATGAACATCGTTATTCGAATGTTCACATACTTTGTATTGTTTATCGCGATATTCTTGCCATGGCTCAGGATTTTTCTTTAAAGACCACGTAACATCAGGATTACGAAAAGCTAAACGACATGTATAAAATGTAGCTCCTGCGACACCTATTACGACAGCCACGAACAATGGTATCAGCTGTAATGAAATATTACATCATATTATTATTCATATTAAAGAATCTTTAAAAATATTAATACTTACAGGATAATTTTTTTTTAAAGAAGACAAAGTAAGACCACCGAGTATAGGGCCTTTTTTCGCATTACTATCCCCCATGATTTCAATAGAGAAATCTCCTCAACTGAAATGTCTTAGCTCTTTGAACGATTGAAGGTACCTTACATTAAGAAAATATATAATAGATGTACATGTTTGTATCTAGATTTTCATTAAAGTCTTACATCATTGAAGAATTGGTTAGGTCCTACTTTATCGACATATTAACCAATAGAATATTCGTAAGGTCGAATTAAAATTTCTATCTGTAAAAGGCACTCTTTTTTACTATAAATATATTTTTATATTAAACACATATATATTTGTGATTTGATAGTATTTACATATTAATTGAGAAAAAATAAACAATATTTATTTATTTTTTAATTACTTTACATAAATTTCGTATTTTTTTTTGTATAAATAATTAATGGCGAATTTTTATAAATATCACTAAAGATGTCTTATATTCTTTTGTTGGCTACATTGCTTTGGATTAGAAATTTTTTTGAAGAAAATCTAGACAATGCCAAATATCTATTATTGCGAATATCCCACGGCGGTATTCCGCCCGTAAAAGTTAATTTTTATAATTTCGGGTCTGTATAAATATAAATGTTGATCTCAACCATGTACGAGTATGAAAATATAATTAAATCGAGTTGAGTAATAAACGAGTAATTTGAAATGTTCTACATATTGAATTTCTTGATTAAAATTCATTCGTTTTACTTCTGTGTCGTCAATGTCAAGACAACAGATTGAAGTGGAGATGAATTATCATTAAGAATACGGTATTTTAAAAATTGCGGTCGATATATATGTATGGTTTGGTTATCGAACAAGGAAATGGGCTTTTCAACGAGCCTGCAAGGGCAGGCATCGCACGAAGCTTTACTTGGACGACAGGATGCAGAAATCAAGCTTTTGGAAACAATGCGGCGATGCTTGACAACGAAAGTTAAATCTGATCGTGAATATGCTGCAACTATTTCTTCTTTAACTCTACAAGGTAAAAAAATAGAGCGAAGCGAAGATCTTGTAGGCAGTTTGATTGCTCAGGTATGCCTTATTACATCTATCAATCATTACATTCATTAGGAAATTTATGTCAATGAATTTTTAAACTATTTTTTTTATAATTGTTATATATGTTACGTCACAGAGTTGGAAAGATATTATGGATTCAATAGATCAAACAGCTAAATTAATTAAACAGCAAGCAGATTCTATTGAAAGTATTGTTATAGAACGCATTAGCGTTTTATATTCTGAAAGAAGAAGAGCTAGAAAAGTTTACCAAGAAGAACAAGCCTGGTTGATTAATCAATTTCAACAAGTAAGTTATATATAATATTATGGATTATTATTTTATATTAAATTATATACATATATTTACTTAGTCTAAAAAAGCATGGTTTTTTTTTAGCTGACAGATGATGTAGTCAGAAAAAAGATGGAATATCAAAAAAATTTGGAGGTCTATAAATTGATGAGATCTAGATTTGAAGAACATTATATAAAATGTTAGTATTTCATATTATAATTTTTTCTATAATTTTATTTAAAATATATTCATTTTCCCTTTTTTAATTGATAAAATGATCATTGATTTTAGCTGGCCGTGGAGGTAGAAAGTTAGATGAAGTAAGAGAAAAATACCAAAAAGCTTGTAGAAAGTTACATTTAACGCACAATGAATATGTATTACTTTTGGGTGCTGTAACAGAATGTGAACACGATTTAAGAACTTGTTATTTACCTAGTTTACTTCGTCGACAACAAGCTATACACCAAGAATTTATTACATCATGGTAAGACAAGTTCTTCATATAAAATTTAGATTTTTAGATAGTAATTAGTAATATATGAAATATAGAAAAAAAATTTTATTTGCAAGCAGCTTGGATTGATCAGAGTAAAATATAATAAATACGATGGTAATTGATAAGAGTACATATTGTTCTTCAGAGTTATTTCTACTTTATATTTGCAGGAAAGGTATACTTCATGACATAGTAAAATATTCAGATTTTACTACAGATAAATTTTTAGAAATACATGCAAGAATGCAAAACGCAGTTGATACAGTAAAACCAATTGAAGAATATAGAGATTTCATAGGAAAACATAAGTAGGTTATAAATTTTTTTTTTTTTTTTTTTTTTTTTAATTTATTATATACAAATTATATTGTGATAATAAATACTGTAACATCGATATAGAACTAGAGCAGTATCACCAATAAGATTCACGTTTGACGAGAACCTTGTGGATGATACTTCAGGAAAATTACTACCCAACAAATTAACTGTGGATAATTTAACCATTGATTGGTTAAGAAGTAGACTTACAGAACTGGAAACTTCTCTTAAAGCAACACAACAGAATCGCCAGAATCCACAATTTTCTCCTGAAAATAATAGTGATTCTAAGTAAGATCATAAGTTTGTTATAAACTAAGTATTTAAATTAATTAATCAATGAAATTGTCATTCTTTTTATATTATTGTTATTTTAAAGAATTCTTGACTTGTTTCATTAGGATTTCTGCCTTAGACTATTCTAATGAAAGGGAAGAATTGAGACTACGTTGTCAAGAAAAGAAATTACAAAAACAGGTTGATGTTATTAGAGCTGCTCTTAATGAATTGGGATGTGAGGAATTGCCTTCAGGATGTGATCTCTCTATGGAAGGCTCATACACCGATCCTCCAACAATAAATAAGGTAGGTTTTTTATATTTCATATACATTTGTGTATAATCTCTAAAGAAAAAAGTATCATATTTCTATTTTACTTTAAACATATGTACTTAGCACTGCAATACAGAACTGGTCTATTAATTCATGATCTCGACAAATTTATTCCATAATAAAATGTTCAATGTAAAATATTTAATATCAGATATTTATAGCATACATACATGCACATATGTATAATCATGTAATCAAGTGTATATATATATGTACATATATATATTTAAAAATGAATCCAAGTGTAATAAAAAAATAAATCTTACATATACACGAATTTTAGATATATGTTCTTAGTTCCATAAAATAAGTTTAGTTAGCTCTACTACACTTGCAGAAAAGCACAGTTGCAGATAATGGTTTGTTTACACTAAGAAGAAATCAACGCTTTCTGACGATAATAAAGTCACCTTTCAAGTCTTTGCCATCAATAAGTGATTCGAAAAATGGATTAATTAGGGCCAGTAGTGAAGGTGTTACAACAAAAGCAGACAGTGTTCCCCCAGTTGTATGTGTTGTATATTTTATTTGTGTGGTGTGTGCATGCAAGCACATTCTGTACATTTATATGCTTTAATATATGTGTTAAGTTGAAGTTAATTAGTTATATGATTATCCATACAGCACATCTGTTAATACTAACTGTTTTTTAGTCCTTTTATACATTTAAACAAATTTTTATATTTTTCAAGATATAACCAAATGCTATTTTAGCACTAATAAATCTAATTAAAATATGAAAAATTAAACTTTGTTATATTAAGCATGTTGGTATTATATGTATTTATTTGAAGCATAGAATTTTTACTAATAGTCCAGAATTTGAACACACATAGAACATCTCGCAGTTATATATGAAAACAAAAAAAGAAAAAGAAAAAAAAAAAAAAAAGAAAAATAATTGATTAGTTAATTTTGTTTTTACTTTTTCATGTAATAAAAAATTATTGGAAACACATGTCTGATCCAGGTACCATTGCGTTATGTCTCGCATTTGACCAATAATCAGAAAGGAAACGGAAATGGAGATTTAATGGAAGAAGAATGGTTTCATGGTGTTCTACCAAGAGAAGAAGTAGTAAGATTACTTGTTAATGAAGGAGATTTTTTAGTGCGTGAAACAACAAGAAATGACGAATGTCAAATAGTTTTATCCGTTTGTTGGGATGGTCACAAACATTTCATTGTACAAACTACGCAGGAAGTTAGTATTTTAACATAAGTTTATTAATTTATATTAAATATGCAAAATATTTCATCATATTACAAATATAAAATTTATTTATTTATTTATTTATTTATTAAAAATAAATCAAATTTTAGGGACATTATAGATTTGAGGGTCCAACATTCCCATCAATACAAGAATTAATTAGGCATCAATGGAAGTCTGGTCTGCCTGTGACTAGTCGTTCTGGGGCTATTCTTAAAACACCAATATTACGTGAACGATGGGAACTCAATAATGATGATGTAATTCTTCTTGAAAAAATAGGTCGAGTAAGTAATTAAATTTTCTTGTAATTTGATACACATATCAGGTATATCTTAAAAATAATACCATAAAGAGACTACAGGATAAAAATTATTATAGGGTAATTTTGGAGATGTATACAAGGCACAGCTTAAAACATGCAAGACTGAAGTAGCTGTAAAAACTTGTAAAGTAACATTACCTGATGAACAGAAAAGAAAGTTTTTGCAGGAAGGTAGAATTTTGAAACAGTATGATCATCCAAATATAGTAAAACTTATTGGTATTTGTGTTCAAAAACAACCAATTATGATAGTAATGGAATTGGTTCCAGGTAAATATTTATTTTTAAAAACTATTCGTTTTTATATGGTAATGAAAATAAATATTAGTACTTTTTTATACCTCCATGTGTCAGGTGGTTCATTGTTAACATATTTACGAAAAAATGCTAGTTCAATTACTCAACGAGAACAATTACGAATGTGTAAGGATGCAGCTGCAGGTATGCGTTATTTAGAATCGAAGTATTGCATACATAGGGACTTAGCAGCTCGAAATTGTCTCGTAGGTAAATAAACAGATATTATAAAAAACTTCATAGCATGTTGATTTTAAAGAATAAATATTTCAATAAATAATATATTTTAATAATATAACATTTTAGGTTACGAGTCAATAGTAAAAATTTCAGATTTTGGAATGTCAAGAGAAGAAGAAGAATATATTGTATCAGATGGAATGAAACAAATTCCTATTAAATGGACTGCACCAGAGGCTCTTAATTTTGGTAAGTGTGTGCGTGCGCATGTATGTTTGTACATGTAAAATAATTTGTGGATAATTTATACATTTATTAAAATACAATTGTTCTTGAAATTATTATTATTAGGTAAATACACTTCCCTTTGTGATGTTTGGAGTTATGGTGTTCTTATGTGGGAGATATTTTCTAAAGGTGGGAATCCATATAGTGGTATGTCAAATTCTCAGGCACGTGAAAAAATAGATGCAGGTAATTAATCAAATAATTTACTAGTCTAGTAATACTTACTGAACTTAAATAAATAGTTCAAATATATATTCGTCATATAGGATATCGCATGCCAGCACCAGAAAATACTCCGGATGAAATATATCGATTAATGTTACGTTGCTGGGAATATGAACCAGAAAAACGACCACATTTTGATCAGATATATACAGTTGTTGAAACATTATCACAAGCTTATTTATAAATAATAATCAGTAGCACATATACACATATTTTTTTGATATTTACAGAAAAATAGTTAAAACAGAAAAATTCTTGTAATATCTAAAAACAATTGTAAATTTTTATCTGTCGTATTTTTTTAGTATCAACACATCAGAAGTAACCTATTTATCAGGAGTAAAATATTTGAGAAATTAATATTTAATCTATAATATTTTTTATTTGTACATTTTATAATTAAAATAAGTAAATATTTTATATTTTATTTTATGAAAGATATTACATTTTCAATCAATATTTAATTGATAATTTTGAAAAATATAGGTGCTACAGACAACTAGATATTATTTTAATTTACAATTAGTCTCTGATTTTTAAATGATTACAATCAATGATAATGATCATGTCATTAATTTTTTAGCTACGTTATCACATTTTTATTTTATTTACTCAGCATGAGATATCAGAAATTTCATTACTACATTTTATAAATTATTACAAGTCTCCGTCCATGCTACATTTTTATACAATTTGAATGTATTATCTTTTTATTAATCCATTAAGCTCAAATTTCAATCGATTTCTTCTCAGTTTACATCCATATATATAAAAATAATTTTTAAAAACAAAATGTCTTGAGAATGATCTTTATCTTTACTTATCAAATATATTCTTAGATATATATAAGATAGCAATACATATTATATAATTATATATATATACATATTTTATTAGTTATATATATATATATATATATATGTATATATATATATATATATATGTATATATATATATATATATATATATATATATATATATATATATATATATATATATAAACAATATTAACCAAAATTGTCCTTATAAATGTGGGATAAACTTGATTCATAATACTTGTTAAAGATTTTTTTTTATTTATATAAAATAATTAAAGAAACATATTTTGTATTTCTATTGTAAAATCACATTTAAAAAGAACTACTTGTATATATAAAAATTATTATTCTAGCTTTGTTTATAAAAAGTTAAAGTGTTAAACAATACTTGCTGGACGAAGTATTTCAATAGCAGTATTAAAATATATATATTCAATTTTAAAGAAACTTTTATTTAATTTAGACACCATTTAATATGTGCACAATTAGTTTTTACTTCCTATCAAAATTTATTGAAAAGAATTTTAAGTTGTTATAAATGAGCTTGATAATGTTTTAATTTTAAGTGTGCAATATTTATTGTATGTATGTTACAGATAGTTCTCATTTTTAAAAAAATTTCTATTTTCCATTAATAACGTCAATAATGTAAAATAACAGATAAATTTTAATTACATTATATCATTTAAAAAAATTTCTTAAAACCATGAATTATCTGTACAGATTTTATCATATGTATATAAAGTGTGCAGAAGTAAATAAGTAAAATTAATTTTCTTTTAACTTTGTATGATGTATAAGTATTTACTTTGTTGTAAAGCAAATTGTAATATTATAGTATTTTAATATGGTATACAAAAATGATACCATTTTTGAAATTGTAATATTATAACTATTACGTATGTGGGTTTATCTTTTAGTTTCTAATGAATATATAAATCGATGCAAAAATGATAATCTCAAGAAACGTTAGTGTTCACATTATGTATATATATTATTATGATAATTTTTATTTCCATTGCATATTGTTTATGCAAATAATTATATAGATTTATTAAAAAGATTTACTGTTAATCTTATATTCCAAGTATATCAAAATGTTCTATTTTCTTTTTATAAATCTCTTATAGTTAAAAATATAGATATAATTTGTATTACATCAATATGATTATCTTACATGTAGGATATTCACAGTTTTATTTTATTTTTTTTATTCTTTTTTTTTTATTATAAAAATTATAATTATAGTAAATTAAATTAATTCATGTATGCCATGTTTTATTCAATATAAAATATATAATTGTTACAAATACAGTTTTATTAGTTCATCACTAACAGCAGAAGGAGTTAAAATTCCTAAATCAGTAAATAAAAGACTAATAAAATGAGGTGGTGTGTAGTCGACTAGTGGATGCTCTTTACGGAGATCCTTTTGTAAAGTACTTGCTGTATACTGCAACATAGAAGTACTTACATATAATTGACTATTAATATTATCAAATAGAACAAAATATATTCAAAAAATAAAAATATTAATTAGTCATATTTTAAACATTGTAAGTTAAATAATAACAAAGTCAATATATACTTTATAACATACTTTAAATTCATCGGGAAGATCTACTTGATTCAATGGATATATCCTTGAGAATTTAAAACTTTCAGTCAATACATAAAAAGGTTTTTTTACTTCTTTAGCACACATTGCCATTGTATAAGTGCCAACCTTAAATAATAACATAATAGAAAGTTCAAATTATATTTTATACAATTGATTAAGATCAAACATAAATTATGATATACTTTGTTTATAACTCCACCACTTTCAGCAACACCTTCAGCTCCAACCATTACCATGTCAACTTGTTCCATAACATATCCCATTGCAGAATCTAATATTAATGTACAAGAAACTCCCATTTGTGTTAAATTTTGACACATCTCAATTCTATAAAAAAGAAATATATTGTTATATTATAAAAATATTATAAATATATATACATCTATTTCTTTTTCTTTCTTTAGTTCTCTATTTATATATAGATTATTATATAGATTATTTAATAAAATATATCTTTTTGCATTAATTATGATACATATAAATAAAAAAACATTAATTCATTACCCACTATCATCTGGAGAAGATGTAGTTACATATACTTCAAATATTTTATTACTAGCCGCTGCTTCTTTCATTGCTTGTAATACAACTCTAGATTTAGAATGAGTGAGTATTTTCTGAAAACAAAAAACTCTATCTAAAATAACAGAAGTGTAGACAAACTCAAATAAAACTGATCAATTTTATGATATTCGTACAGAACCATCAGTGATGAAATGTGCTGCTACTTTTGCAACCTTTCCTCGAGCAGCAACTAATTTTTCATAAAATACTTTCCCTCTATGAAGCATAATTCCCTTGCATTCTGCAAATGACTATAAAAACGTTACGATTAAAATAATATTAAACAATAAAAATTAAAAAGATAACCACATATCAAAATATATCATTTTGCTTCAATTACATGTTAAAGAGTATCTTGTAGATATGATTATTATATCAATATCCTTACTGGTGTATCTAATGTTGCTAAAGTGATAAATCGAAGGAACAATTCGCTTCCAGAAGCAATAGCAGTTACAGGATTGTCTGTAGACCTCATTGCATCTACTGCATTTTGTAAACAATACCGTAGTTCTTGGACTGTCTCTGCTGTCAGAAATTTATAAATAAACTCATAGATATTATTTTATTAACTAAAATTTATAAATTAATGTATTCATTCAAAAGAAAATACTTGATGCAATTAATATACATATTGTCATCAAAAATTATAATCACATATGGAAAGCGACTTACACTTAGAATGTTCTAAGACTTTTAGCAAAGTTCGAATAGCAGCCATACCAGCTGATACATCCTTCTCATCTTTAATAATACCATTAAAATATTCACAGATTTCTGAAACAATAAGTGAATATATATTGCTTTTTATTAAACAAATTGTGAAATAACATATATACAATTTTATGCATATTGCACATTATTTTTTACATTTTTCATTATGATATCTTATAAAGTAAGTTACCCGTTTGCTCCATATTTTGTTTTATTTATAATTTATTAGAAATTGTTTAGAAATTTGGTATCGAAAATATTTAAAAATGTATTATAATTTTATTATTAATTTGTTAATAAAGACAATAGATATTGGAAAAACATCTTTCAACATTTGAGTTGATTTTAATGCTTTCTGGTGTTACTTTTAGGAAGCTTAAAAACAGTTTTTCCGATCTGCCGCTAGGCGTTACAGTGTTCATTAAAGTTCTTTGCTTATTTGCACGTGACAATAAGTTCTATCGATATATGTAATTAATATTGTGTTTTCACGTTATATATTTATTAACATATAATAACAAAAAAGTCCGAATAGCAAAATGGTTGTAATAGGAAAGAAAAAAGTAAGAATTAATTTTAAATTTATGAATATTTTAACATTATAAATATTTTAAGGTTATGTTAATATAATGTTATGTATTTTACAAAATAATGATAAGACGCAGTTTTAAATTGTTTTAATGATATATATTTTGTATATTTGTAGTACCAATCTGGAGAAGGAGCACAATTTATGACCAGGAAATCTGCGTTAAAGAAATTACAACTTTCTTTAAATGAATTTCGCAAATTATGCATATTGAAAGGAATATATCCAAGGGAGCCTCGTAATCGTAAAAGAGCACAAAAAGGACAAGTTGGAATAAAAACACTGTATCATAAAAAGGATATTCAATTTTTGATGCACGAACCAATTATATGGAAATTAAGGGATTACAAAGTGAGTTAATAATATCTATCTTTTGAAATATTATCTATATATATATGTAAAATTTCTTTTTAGATATTTAATAGAAAAGTAGGAAGGGCAAGGGCAATGAGAGATTTTGCAGAAATGAAAAGATATTTAAGTAAACATCCTACTTTGAAATTAGATCATATTGTTAAAGAACGTTACCCGACATTCATCGATGCTTTAAGAGATCTAGATGATTGTTTAACTTTATGTTTTTTGTTCAGTACATTTCCGTCCTTAGCTCACATACCACGTGATCAATCATCTTTATGCAGGAGACTAACCATTGAATTTTTACATTATGTAGTAGCAGCAAAAGCCTTAAGAAAAGTTTTTATATCCATTAAAGGTTATTATTATCAAGCTGAAATTAAAGGTCAGATGATTACCTGGATTGTACCACATCATTTTTCTTTCGAGCCACAAGAGAAAAGAGAAGTTGATTTCAAAGTTATGTCTATATTTGTGGAATTCTATATTGTGATGCTTGGCTTTGTAAATTATAGGCTTTATCATTCTCTTAATTTGTTTTATCCTCCACAATTTAATAATAGTGGTAAGATGATTTTATAAATTTGATTTTATGTTATATTATATAAAAAAGAGATAATGATATTTTTACGATTGATACATTTTTAGTACCATGTGAAAAGAATCTTGTAGACGAGGAAGCATTTGTATCAGAAAGAATAAGTGCATTGAATGTACCTCTTCTAGCATTAGATCCTACTATACAAAATGTAGATAATGAAGAAATGGAAATAGATCAATTTTCTAAGGTAAAATAATATAATGATTAAATTATAATTTATATCATCAAACAAATATATACACATTATTAATTTGTCTAGGACGCTGATGCACAACAATTGGAAACTGCAAAATTAGAGGCTGAGAAAATAAAGAAATTAAAAACATTATTTAAAGGTTTGAAGTTTTTCTTAAATAGAGAAGTTCCAAGAGAACCATTAGTTTTTGTTTTACGTTGCTTTGGAGGAGAGGTTTCTTGGGATAAATTGTTGTTCGTTGGCGCAACTTTTGATGAAAATGACGAAACAATTACACATCAGATTGTAGATAGACCTAGTATGGATAAACAATTCTTATCTAGGTTGTTATTTAATTTTTATGAATATACATATATATATTTATTTATAGTTTTTTTTCTGTTTAATTAGCAATATGAATATTTTTTTTATTTTACTTATATAATTCTTGGAATTGTAGATATTATGTGCAGCCACAATGGGTATTCGATTCAGTGAATGCAAGAGAATTGTTGCCTGTAGAAAAATATTTAATGGGTGCTATTCTTCCTCCACACTTGTCTCCATTCTCTGAGAGCCGATTAGATCAAACGTACATTCCACCGGAGGAACGTGCGTTGATTGATCCTGAATATAAGCTCAGAAATGGTATATAATATATTTTTTAATTAATGTAGTCTTATGTAATATCTTTACATCTTTAGCAATTAATAATATAATTGATATTATAATCTAATAATGTGCAGTAGAAGATGATGAATCATCTTCTGAAGACGAAGAAGATGAAGATAAATTGGAAAATAAAACAGGAAACATGGAAGAAGATTCGAACGATAATAAAGAAGACGAAGAAGAAGATGATGATGATGATGATGATGATGATGATGATGATGATGATGATATTGAGATATCAGATAGAGAAAAAGAAAAGGAACGTGAACGACTGCAAAAGGTTATTAAACAATTATTTATTTTATATATTTAAATGTAAATAATTTTTATTTTATTCTTTCTTATCGTTTACAATATTTTTTTAAAATATTAGAAAAAGGCAATGAAAGTGAAGGCAGGTGAAATAACGAAGGAAGATCCTTATGAAAAGGAACGTCAAGATAAACAAGAATATCGACTGAGAGAAAAAATGATTAAGAAGAAACATCGAAATTTGTATAAGAGTATGATGCAAGGTCGTAAAGAGAGAGCAAAAGAAATCTGGTTACTGCGGAAAAAAAGGCGACTTCATGATAATGCTGAAAAAGAAAAACATAAAGAAACTCGTAAATTACGAAGAAGTAATCTTATTGAATAAAAATAAAAAAAATAAAAAAAAAAAAAATAAAAAGAAAAGTTATTACGACATTAATTGATAATAAACAAAAGATAGTTTCTTCGTTTTTCCTAATTTTTATACTAACTTATTTCAATGTAAGATCATTTATACAGTCACTTTCTCGATCAGCATATATACAGTTATATATTACAGAAAAAAAGAGAAAGATGCCTTCGATCCAGTCCTCCTACTAAAAGTGCGCCCACACATTCAACAATTCTGATCTTTGCTTTTTCCATTGAAGGACTTTGAAGGCCATACTTCCTACACTCTTTAACCCACGCCTTCTCCTTACATGTATATTCATTAATACATACACATATAATATATTTGCAGTGTGTTTTATAGCGACGATGATATCATCGGACATAAAGATTTTTATCCTGGTACATTGATCTTGAAAAGTAGATATTTTTCTATTTTTTTTTAATAATTCAGTATTTTTTTAGCTTGATTTTTTTCTTCTTAAATATCGTGTATTTTACATAACATGTATTTTATATTAATTGATTTGACAATATTACAACGATCAGTTTCATTGCAATCAAACAGAAAGATGGCTGTAACGAGTATGAAGAAATTGATTGTAGAGAGTCGATTTTACGGTGCTAATTCAACTCTATAATTTGGTAGACAGATGTGTATGTTTCCATGCGAGATCCTGTGTATCCACGTATGTGTAGGACTATACATGTGGCACGATGTGTACACATTGGATGCTTACGTCATCCTTGCTATTCCTGTTCCAGCTCATCTTCTTCGAGTATCCTTAAATATCTTTGTCCCTCCGAATGCTCACAACCGGCTGGTAACACCCTAATTTTCTTGCCGAGTTCTGCTGTTGAATAGCTGACCTTGAAGATCTTATACTAATATTATATGCATCTATGTTTACTTTGACTTTACTTTTCTTTTATTTTTATTACAAGATGTACAATTGCTGTTTTATTTTCTTCAATGATTTTATTATCATTATTATACAATCTTTATATTTTATAGTTTTACGTTTTTTGAAATTTTTATTTGAAATATTTCTTTTGCAAAGAATTATCGATTTTTATTTTAAAATATAGTGACGTATGTACGTGGGCAGTATGCGGGTATTGGACTACCCACGTAGAAGTTTGTTACGTATTTCAGATTGTAATATCTTCTTTCTCACGAATTACAAACGAATTTCTCTTTTTCACGGATTGAATAATAGAGTATGATAGTGTAATGAGATTTCAATTAAATTCGGTTGAATAATCTCGTCATCGATAAGTTCAAAGAACTTTAAATACGACTTTTAACATATCGCGCACATGCAAGACACGTCTTCATCGAATGAAATTTTACTCTTGATAAAGACAAACGATGGATGATTCGTTCGGGACGAACGGTTTATTGTCTTTGATATATTCGTAGTGAATATTACGGTGACTTGAACGCGTGGTAAAGAACTCAACATCAAAATCTTGAAAGTATGACATAATTATTGCATTTTAGCTTCTAAGACATTTGACAAAATTGTAAGATTAATTATAATTAAATTATATTATTTTATTTATTTTTTTTTCTTAAATTAATTTTCAATGAATTAATTATTATCAATTGACATTAAATTGTTTTATATTTATTTTTATGTATTTTTATTGATTTTATTATTTACTATTTCTTTTAAAATTAAATTATTCAATTTCGATTAATTTCACATTTTTGTTATTTAATAATTTTTATTATTAAAAAATTCGCCAAATAAATTTACAATATCGTCAATTGTATCGTGTATTAATTTGTTTTAAAAGATACAAACTCATAACACAAGTATATCTTTTATTACTTATCGAACGATCCTTCCGAAGATTTCTTCCTTCTTTTTCTAAAAAAAAAAAAAATGAAAAAAAAATGAAAAAGCTAGCAGTAATAATAATAAAATAAAATCTTAATTAAAACCTTAGTACATTAAATATGAAGAAGTTATTCGTCGAAGTTAGACAGTAATAAAGATATTTAGTCTTAAATATTGTCATTACTGGCCAATCAGCGACACGGCATCAATGGCGTCGCTTGCACCCATGGGCAACCAACCTGCTTGGGTGTATACACGATACCAAGGTCAGCCGAGGGACTTATCTGTGTGAACCATACTTTCGCCTATAGCCTAGCCATTTTTGACGTCAAACGTCCTGAAAATGAAGTTGTCTTTACGAACATCATTTTAATCAGTATGTACAGATCTCGCTAAAGGAATTTCTGAATATTGAAATATAGTCAATAATATGAATAGCCTTTATCCTTTTCTCAGAAGAGAATACTGTTATTATATGAAATAACATTAGCCATAATATTCGATAACACGTAAAACGCTTTTTAATTTTGAAATTCAGTAAGAAATTGCAAGTTGCAATGAAGATTTCTTGCATATTGAGTAGTTCTAAGTTTTTTAAACTTGATCGTGCAACCGATTTGATCGTTCTGCCGAGGCATCGAAGTTATCCAGAGTTGGCGAAGCGGATGACGCATCGTTGAAAAGAATACGAAATGAACGTGTGTCTCGCGGGCCCGTTACCTATACTATGCTACGACATAGACAAACATTATAAGGCTATATATATACATATATATATATATATATATATATATATATATATATATAATGCATCGAAAGGGTGTTTTTGTACAAGATTGTATTTGATCAAGCATGAAAGAGAATGAAACTTGATTTCAAACGATCATCAATATATTATTATATCTCTAAGAGATTTTATTATTTCCTAGAATTCGAATAAAATCGATTTGTTAACAAACTCTTTACCTTAATATTATTTTATATTAATTAAAATGTTTTATCGTATTTTTTTCATCAGATATTTTCTATACAAAATCATTTGAGAAAGCACAAAACTCATCGTATACATCGTGAGGCGAGTTACACGATATATCTTCTCTGCGAAGCGTATAATGCGCGCGCGTGCGCGCATGTGTGTATATCTGTATTTGAACGAATGTATAGATATATGTAACAGTAAGACGTGGATTAAACGTAATGGTGCAAACTATATAGGTAGGTACGTGTTGTACGTTCGTAGATTCTCTTCTTCGCGGCCTCCGCCTGTAAGATGCCTCAAGGCGTTAGAGTTCACCGACACCATCGTACTCGTGAGGTACTATGGACTAGCAGTATCATTAAAACCATGTGCAATGTGTTCGTATATTCGTGGATCTTTACCCGTACGAATTTTAAGAGAATTAGAGAGAGAGAGGGAGAGAAAGAGAGATAGATAGAGAAAAATAAAAATAAAAATAAAAATATTAACACGACAAAGATAGATAATCTTCTTTCTTTTACTTCTTAAGATTTTGTAAGATTAGATTTAACAATCAGAAAAAGAATAGTAATCGTTTCCTTCCTTTCTACGAATTATGATTTTACGTAGATAGTTTTTGCAAACATTATATTCACATTGTACATTGTCAATTTCATTGCGCGGTTAGATATTGTATATCAGACTCGATTTACAAAACGGTATATACCTTTCAAGTATTCCTTGGATCTTATGGATTCCTTCTCTCCCGTAAAAATAAGAGCAACGATCCGTGATAGGCGGTGCAATCTTCTGAAGCACCGAGCAGCGATCCATGAGACTCTCGAAGGAGAAAGATCCTGCTTCCGTGAATCGTTGAGCTATCCTATGAGAACAACTATTTTTATATTCTCGTTCTTTTATAGCATACCTATCTATTGTAAAATTTTCCAAGAAAGTTATTTTCTCAAGAGAACTAATAAAATATCTTATAATTTTCAAAATGAATATTATAAGAATGACGAATTCAAAAGCTTGAGACATTTTAATTATCAATTAATATAAAAGAATCCGATGCAATTTAAACTACGAAATTCAAGGTCTATTATACAAAAGTCTAATAGAAAGAAGAGAAGAGAAACAGAGAGAGAGAGAGAGAGAGAGAAAGAGGGAGGAATCGTTCCAGGCATCGAGCTCTCCAACTTTGAGCGTAGAGACTTTACTCGAGTCCTAGTCCTGCCGTGGGAGAACGTCGAAGGAGGAAACAGAATAATTCGAAGTCGTTCGTAGAAGTGAGAGGTAGTGACGGTGTATAGGAGTGAGTGAGAAAGAGAGAGAAAGAGAGAAAGAGAGAGCAAGAATAAAAGAGAAAGAAAGAAGGTAGACGTGAGTATCGAGAGAGAAGCTCATGGAAAGGAAAGGAGAGGAGGGAGCTCTCAGAAAGAGAGAGGTGAGTTGAGTAAAGAGAAGGATCGTCGACCAATGAGACATCGGGCCGGTGATGACGTCGTCGTTGTCTCACGTCCAAGTCTCACCAAAAGTCCTCAACAGATACTAGTTCGTCCGCGGTCTCCCGTGTGAACGAAAAGTTCGTCCTTTTCATTACGAACGTCTTCTCGTTCTTCTTTCTTTTTTTATATACGTTTCTGTCATCAACACAGTGAAATTCATCTAAGATTGGATCCTGAAACAGGCGGAAGATACGAGGAGGAAGGAGGCTGCTCTATCAGCTATGGGAACGGGTAAGTTTTTGAGATCACGATCGCGTTTGATCGATCTCGCCTGACACTTTAAAGTTGTTCTTTTCGAAAGTAACTGAAACATATCGATGATCAGTGAAAGGAGAATTATTTAACTCTTAGATTCTTTCTTATCTCATGAACGTTGTCTTAGACATATATATTTTTCGTAATAAAATTTGAAGAAAATTTGATCCTTTATCCTTTCTGAGGATGATTTTCCTTTTTAATGATAGATACCATCATTTTTCAAACCTGTTTCTAATATTCGAAATTTTAAATATTTCCCGCGATTTTTCAAAGATCCAATCAGCATTGATTATCGGTCGACCGCAACTCAGTGTTCTCTCCGAGTCAAGGTCGAGATTATTCGCCCAAGTCTATCGTCAAATGTATCCACCCGACGTGTGTGATGGTAAGACCGTTAAAGAACGTACTGGAGAACTTCGTACCGGTTGCTCTTCAACCTTGAAAATCTTCCAGTCGAGTCCTTCGATCTTCTTTGCTA